CTGCTGCCACAAACAGCCACCTCTTCTCCGAGTCTCTGCCCATATACCGCATTCCGGATGCCGTACCCGAGGCGCCATTGGCAGGCGCCTGAAGCAACTGCAGTCGGCCGTCGAATGATTACAATAGCAACTGCGGGAAAGGGGTTAGCACAAGGAGCGCTGGCCAGGTCCGGCGCCGCTGAGAAATGTTCTTCTAATCAGGGCAGAAGATCCTGATTTTGATTTTCTCCAGGGCCCGTCAGGGTCTTTTTGTTGGCTGACGGGAAGCCCGGGACGATCGCTGGCCAGGGGGTTGAAACTGGCCCAGGTTTCTGCCACCACAACGGCCCTTATATCCGACAGAAGAAAGGGAAAACGGGTGAGGGTAAACGGCAGCAGAGGCGGGGGTTTGAGGGGGGAAGAAGAAGACCGAGATGCTCGTAATCCGTACACGTCCTTGACGTCCTTCTGAGTCACACTAAGGCAGGTTGTCTGTAGTATTACTGCCGTCACTCACCACTGTCTGCTCAGGGCAGCTGCAACTGTCTTTGCCGCCTTCCCGTCGTCCACCTGCAGTCGGTCCTTGGATTATTCCGACAGCCTCCGCCGGCGTTCGTTAGTCGGCCGTAGCGAGCTGCTAACCAATGTGCTAACTCCCGAGTCGACTCCATAACCACTATCCTGCCGCTTCATGTTGACTGATCGCGTTACATGGCTCGCATTCTGTTGCTCTGCATGTCGTCGCATCCCAAGCCTCAGCCTCGTGCTCGTACACTGACCAACCAACAGCCTCTCCGTCGCACCGCACTGCAGCAACTGCCGTTCTGACGCACCCGCCGTTTTGCGCAGCTGCGTTGCCTGGCTGGCAGCGCATCCCCTCCTAGTATCTCATCCTATCCCATCCCATGGCGCCGCCTCTGGCGATCGCCGCAATCTCGGAAGCCAGATCTGCTTGTCCTCCGCCTGATAGCATGACTAAGGGGAATACGCTTGTTTTATTTGTTTCTCTCGCCTTAACCCCGAGCCGATAGTCTACTGACTATCTGGCAACTGGTGCCGGCCGGCCAATGGCACACGATACCTGCAGCTTGGTTGGCACGCCATGTCTCGCAGACGGATGACACTGTGCCGCAGACCGTTTTATCCGCACCGCCGTGGCTCATATCTTGATGGGCCGACCCTGGCCAGATGCTTGTTCAAGCTGGGCAATCTATGCGAACTAAGGTAGGTAGCTTACGGAGTACATGGCACTATTCCCTCCGGATGCAAAGGCGAGCGAGCGTTGGCCGGCTCGACTTACGAGTACAAGTAGTATTAGCCTTTCTAGGGGAAATGCGACGGTCGACCAAACTCAGAATTGCTTGATCTTCTCGTCAATGCACAACGCTTGGTTTCGCTTGGGAAGCCTTTTGACAGCTACCATACGGGGTGCCGTCCCCTCTGCCCCCATGCAGCATGCGCAGTCAGTTGTATGACACAGGACGACGCTCTCCAACCAAAACCCCGAAGGCCCTGCTCACGACACGGAGTATGTACGGAGTACTTTTCTATCCGGCATAAAATGGGGTACCACTACTACTAACTTCAAGCCTGATACTACCTAGAAAGGGGGGAGGGGCCGCGACAGTTGTAGCACGCAGCCTTATGGTTCGCTCCTCAACGACACATTTCTTGCAGGAGGACTATAGCCAGTTACAAGTGCTACTGATGCTGTATTAGAAAGCCAAGCCAGGGCTCGATAGTCTGCCATACGCCTGTCTTGGCCATAGGGGATTACCAGGATCTGCCAATACGAGTTCGTCCGTTCGGCTGTCGCTGGTTCCCAGGCATCTCTGCGTTCCTGACTTGGATATCAAATACTCAAGATGCGTGTCACTGCGGTCGTTCATGCTCATTTGGCTATCTATGACTATAGAAGCGTTGCCGACGAACAGGTAGATGCCTCTTTTCCTTTCTCAGTTTCTCACCAATTCCCGGGCCACTGATGCTGGAGACACGGCTGACACGACCTAAAGAGCTAAGCACCTCACCACAGTCTTCAACTTGATGAAGCTGTGGCTTCTGGACGGCAATACGAAGTACGGAGCGGCGGCGCCACAGAGGCCGTACCGAGGTAGTCTGGAACAGTATGCTTGCTGCCATTGATAAGGAGTAAAGGGGAAAGGAAGCGGGTAAGACAATGACGATAGTAGTATCTGGGATCTATGCTTGATGCGCAGCCGGGCCGGGTAGCTGACGAACATCAAGTTATTACGGCTTCTGTTACTTGCGATGACCACAGAGCAAAGCCACAACTCTCAATCTACCCCGGCCTGCTGCCAGGTGAGTAACGGCATCTCAAGGCAGCTCTTTTGTCTCGCCAGGCGCTTTAGCCATAAGAAAAGAAGGAAAAAAGGGGGGGAGGGGTGGTTGTCTGCGAGAGGCCCCTGTTGGTTTCCAAATCACATCGCAATCTGGTCCCGAGAGCACGGCCCCTCGGCGCTGTCGTTCAGTGCTAAAGCTCCTGGGATATCCCAGTCGCTACTCAGCCCTGCTGTCGGGTCGTGTGAGAGGCGTGTGTGGAGGAAATGCGGGAATGCTTCTTAGACCGCACGCCGGCCCAACCAGGGTGGAGAGGACATCAATTCCCTTGAGAGGACCGGGGCATTGTATGTACTCCGCAACACTACTACGGCTGACTGCGGATACTTGGCGCCTCATCGAGCCCTCTTTGTCCTCACACAGAGTCGCAATACTCGGTCCTTTTTGTTGCAGGTCTGCCCTATACGCCGGCGTGGAGAAGATATTGACGCCGTGATGAGGAGATTGTACAAGTACTGTACTTGGACTGCTGGTAACCCAAGCTTTCTGTCACTCTTTGGGCAATTGCTCGTCCGGGATGCTAACCATGCCCTGCCCCCTGTATTAGCCGCGCTCGTGTTACACAAGGTTGTCGACCCCTAAGGCACGAAAGCACTACCTGTCTCGGTCAAGCAGCTGCATATCCAGACGTTTCGGTGGCTGACCGCTAGCATCTAGCATCCAGGGAGTCGGGCATCAAATTTATCCGCTTCTTCTTAGGCCTCCGTATCCAAGGGATCGATGGAGTACGGAGGCATTTGCTGTCCATTCTCAGCGCAACTCGAGAACGTTTCTGATTGGCATTGACGTTGCATTGGTCCCTTCGGCCCAACCTTGTCAGCCCAATGCCCTGATCAATTTGGAGAAGATGCGTGCGGATGCAAGCTAACGATGCATTGAAACAAACCACCAGGACGAAGGAAGAGATCGCAGGATGCACCAACGCTATGAGTTGACTAGGCCTAAAGCTTCGTCTACACTTCCATGGAGGCCGCGTTGCATACTTTGGAGCTTTCTTTGTCCCTTCTTTGGGCATTCGTGTCTCTCTGGATTTCGTTCCCAGCGACGTCGGCAGCCTGCCACTATTTCGAATAAGACGGTCCCTGGTTTGCTTGAGTGGAACCTGCGGTTCCAGTCCGCTGGCTTGGTGACAACCATCCGGCCTTGTATCTGGATCCATCGATGGTGCATGGACAGCAGCCACCGAACCCATGCCGCTCATGCCACACGTCCCTCTTAACTTGCTCACTCATCAAGCGGCCCAGGCATGGGATGCCTGGTTGGTGGTCCTCCGAACCGTCTGTACGGTAGCAAGCCGCCAAGCTCATAGCCTACTTGCTACAAGTGCTGGTGCTATCACCACGCCCTGCATACAAGTACATGCATACCTACATACACAGGTTCAAATTGCCTGCACCACAGACAAGCCGAGCAGCCACAGGCGAGATAAAGGGGACTAAGTACAATCAGCACCAGAAACCGCTAGGGTGCAAGAGGCTTAGCAGGTCTCTGGATGCCGCAAGACTGACTCCCTTGGCATAGAGAAGGAAAAGAAGGTCTCCATTCGAACTCTGGACTTATGCCCAGACAAGCAAACACGAGCGATATGCGCCTGGCTATCGACCCGAGTATGTGCACGCGCTCTGGCTGGTGGGAATGGCATCCCGCCCATTGTCACCCACCCGCCTGTGCTGTCGCAAGGCTCGTCGACAGCCGACTCCATCTCGTCGTCCTGATTCTCTCACACCCCCCCAGCTTCGCTAGCGCCCTACGTACGAGTGGTATGCGCTCCCTCGTGCTGTCAGTTGGTGGCACACGGGTCGATGGCCAGCCCTCGGCTCGCCTGGCCTGGCTCCAACGCAGAAACGGCATCCATCTCATCCTGGGGGCGTCTGGTCGTAAAGGCCGCTCGGCGACGCTCCGCTCGTGCTGCTACGGCTGCTATCTCATCGCCATCTGGCGTGGTGTTTCTGCGTGGCATTGATTTTCGTCCTTGTTCCTGCTTTGCTCGCCCGCACTAGGAGATGCCGTAACGACCGAGGCGGAGCCCTCCCTCAGATCAACGTCTCCATAAAGACAGACGCCTCCGGCGCATCTTAATTCTTTAACCGACTCCTTCTTCTTTGTTTGCTCCAAAACAGGCTTGAGGTCCTTTTTGACTAAAGCAACCCAGATTCGTCATCGTCATACTGCCCGCTGGCCGTTCGCATCGTCCGACTAAACGGAAGCTAGATCACGGGCCTACACGAACGCCTCGGTCAGCACGTGTTGAGCGATCCCCTCCCCCATCACCAACCCATCCCACTTAATTCTCACCAGACCCTGTTCGTCTCTCACGAGTTGGACGGATATCTTCTCCGCGTCCTGAACTCTCTTGATTACCGCCACTACTTATATCTGACAACCTCTTCACCGCCCTTGGCCACGTCTTTTTTCGACCCTTTGCTCGTCATAACGGATCGTGATAAGCGTGCATCGTCTCTCACGTCTCTCGATATACTACCCCTTGCCTGCATTTGCTTTTTTTCTTCTTTGCTTTTCTGTGCCGAGCTCAACACCATCATCCTGTTGCTTGGCATCAAGTTTGTTTCTGTATATCAAACCATCCTCGCCTCTTCCCCTTTGATATATGGTTCTGGGAGAACGGATCTATTCTACTACTAGACTGGTTTCACACAGACATGGCTCAGGGACTCTGGCCAGATCATGAGGGCGTGTCGCCCGAACTTAACCTCCCTCATCAAGAGCGGGTCGACCGTCAAATGATCCGGCACCTACTTGGCAAATACTCACGAGAGGAACTGGGGCGCTTGCTACAAGAAGAAGGACGCCTGTCACCATCATCATCATGTGAGTGCTTGATATACTTTCTGCTGCTGGTTGACAGGCACAGCTTTAGTCTGTTGTAAGCTTGAAAGTCTGTGGCGGCGCCTCTAACTTATTTACCTTCCTACAGACGAGGAACGATCCTTTATGCTTTCCAGTAGCAACACGTCCAACCGAAGCTCGCACGATGATTCATCAAACGTGTTCGACACAACAGGCAGCAGCAACACATTCTCAGATACGTCGTCGACATGTGGCAGTGTCGCCTCCAACGTCTCGCCTCGAGCAAGCAACAACAACAACCGCAAGCGCAACGCAAGCCCGTCGGCAACTCGAGGTAGCATAGCCCTTACGGACGAGTCGTCGTGGGACGCCGAGGACGCCACTCCTACCACAGCAGCTCCCAAGCAAAAGGGTTCCTTCACCTGCGGATTCTGTCTCGAGGAGGGCATTCAGAAGACATGCACGCGCAAGAACGACCTCAAGCGCCACATGGAAGACTTCCACCACACAAACGCACAATGGTTCTGCAGGCATCGGGGCTGTCAGATGGTGTTTGACTGGCAGACGGCTTACAAGGCGCATCTCAAGAACGCCCACGGCGGGTCAAGGATGAACCTGGACGATGCCAAGATCCCACTGTGTCCGCAGACGGTGTTCGCGTGCGGCTTCGAGAATTGTCTCCAGGTCTTCGAGGCGCCAAGCGATGCCCATGCGGGCCCTACCTTCAAGGAGTACGTGAGCCATGTCGTCAAGCACTTTGACGAGGGCGCCAGCAGCGGCCAGTGGAGCTACTCGGCCAGGATGCGCAACCTGCTGCGGCAGTCAAGCGTCCTCAACACCTGGTCGCAGTCGCTGTGGCCAGATGCAGATCCGAGCCGCCTGCGGTGGAATTCCCAAACGAGCAGCGTCCTGAGAAAGCGGCTAGAGACTAGACACCTTGGCGACATGCAGTTCCTTGTCCAGTACGCCATCGCGCTTGGGTCCAGCCCCAATGGCGCCATTCAGAACTTCCGCGCGGACTTTGTCACTCCCATCCGCAGCGAGTGCCGGCTGGCCATCCACGGCCACGCCAGGGCAGCTGTTCCGTCCGCCACGCCGACTCCTGAGCCAGACCACATGGTCCAGTACGGCATGCCGACGGGCGGTCCGAATCCGGCCATGGTCGCCTATTACCAGCGGCACGCATACATGCCCCAGCCGGCGCAGCCGCAGCCGCAGATGCCCTCGTCGGGCTACAGCTTTCAGAATGCACCTCCCTCTCCGGGATACGATGCCCACCACCAGGCTTTGCAGCAGCAGCAGCAGCAGCAACAGCAACAGCAGCCGCAGCAGCAGCCGCAGCCGCAGCCGCAGTACATGGGCATGTCCGACACACCGATGGTAGGGTCGGATTACGTGCCACATGCGAATAGCAATCTCCAGCCTATGCCCGGTGCTTATGCCACCAACGGCATGCAGAGTCCCGCACCCACGGACATTTGCGGTGCCGCAAGCCTGGGCTCGAACCTGGAGCAGCGGACCAATACGTACGCATACAACTCGTCTCCATACGCATATTGAGAAATCACGAGGGCAGCAGCACTACCTCGTCCCACGGGCGATTTAGAGTTCCATCTCTTGGACCAATGTGACCACTTGCCCTGGTGGTTGCCGGCCTCGCGGCATAGCAGATTGGACGCTTTTCTCCCATGTTTCTTCTTTTTGTTGGTTGGACACACTGCCGGACCGGACGGATATGCATACAAATAACGACAGCGGTTCGGTTTTCGGGATTTCCAAGACCCCTGGGTGGGCTGGATGGCAGACGATGACACAATAACGGCCGATATGCGCGTTCCTCTTCATTCGTGTCCTTTTATTTTCTCTTCTTACTTCTAATTCCCTCCCCTTTTTTTTCCCATATACCCTCGCCAGCCCGCATTTTGTTTTCACGAGTGACTTAGTTCAGAAGACGAGGGCACAGGCCGAAGAGCGACACTAAATACGTCTTTTTGTTTTGATGACGGGGTTTTTTTCTTCTTTTTCTTTCCTTCGGTTTGAGTTCGAGATACACGAAGAACAGCGACATTTGGATATCTGCCACTATTCGCTTCCGTCCAGGGCTGGCACAAGACAGAGTGTGGTGTGGTTCCGGCCGGGGGATATCTGCGGTTTACACGGAGGGCGAAAGCCGGGGCTACAATCTGTCCCTGCCATGTTGGTCTTTTGGCTTATTCATTTTGGGAAGCGTTTCAAACGGGCAGAAATGATTTATCAATGCGGGAGTACATGGGAGCAAGAAAAATGGACATTCTACCTAATTCTGTGTGTCTGTCTGCGTGTGAATGATGGCGAGTTACCGTTACTGCTACTATGTGCGAGACCTTGTTTAGGAGAAGGAGAGTGGCCTATGATTGCGCTGCAGGATGCAGCAATGCAGTTAATATTAGTACACCCTCATCCTTGGTGTAAAGCGCTGCTACTGTGTTGGAGACTGGCAAATGTGATGCATCAAGTTTTGCTATACACGAGGACTTGCACGTCGGACCGGAGCAGCGGCTTGTGTCAGTCGGGGTAACTTTACAGGTAAATGCCAGTGTAGGTAGCCCTAGTACCTACCTATCAGTAGCAGCAACGGTCCGCCTGGGCAATACCTAAGGTATTGATGGCTGAAGACATGCGTGTACAGGTGTTTAGGGGGAGGGCGCCGAAGACTGCAGTTCTCGCCAACAGGGGACTGACTTACCACAGCAGCTGAGAGGATGTTGGGAGGTGACGGGCATGGAGATTGCTGCAGAAGCGCAAACCTTGACTGGTGTGATTTTGTTTCTATTTTTGTCGGATTGGAAAGCAATCTACCTACCTAAGGTATCAGTCCATGCACTTGTGAATAGCTTCGTATTTTGTGTATCTCAAACTTTGTTTTCTTTGTCCTCGATCTGTTTTCCCTCTTTGTTTTTTCTTTGTTTCCACTTGTGTTTATCTTGGCTTTTGTTGATCCTTGGGCGGGATGGAGATGGAGGGGACAGGGATGTTCTGCTTACTCTGTACTGTGCTGTGCTGGTAG